AACTTCAATACCTTTAGGGAAATCACCACTCCTGACTAAGTAATATGAAATCCGCAGTTGGACAGATTAATTGCCCGCCCCCCAAAAAAAACCTCAGGAAAAGATGCAAGCAATTATGAGAAAAGGCTTTATAGTTTGCACCGCAGGAGTGTTGTCTTTCCTACTTTTGGAAAGAAACTTTCATTGAGCACCTGTTTTGTTCCACACACTATGCTTCGCATGTTGCAGACAGGAGATGATTTAATCCTTAGGGCAACCCTACAACTCTACAGATTGGAAAAACTCTCTGAGCCTCAGAAAGATGAAATAATTTGGAAAAAAAAAAAACCCACAGAGATAAATGTAAACCCGATTCTGCCTGATCCCACAGTCCATGGTGTTCCTCCCACTAGTACTAATAACTAGTATTTATTTAGGACTTACAGTGTACCAAGGCCTTTCCCTTACTTCACTTACAATGACTTAGGCAGCAGATTTATAAACTAGCTACCATCAGCTCTGTTTCGTACGTGTGGACAGGGAAACACAAAAAGGTTTAGTGTTTGCCCAAATTCATACAGCCTGTAAATGGCGGAGCTGAGATTAGAACCCAGGTGATCCGGCTGCACGTCACGTCCAGTTGCCTCCTCTGGAGAATCCGATCCTGTAGATAGCACATGGCCCTTCTTACTGATTGCTCTCATTATTAAGTCGATATGCCTTAACTGTGTCTGTGAGACCAGCCATGACTACATCACAAGTTCAAAGTAAAATAGAGTTAAAATTGCATAGCTTGCCTTTTCACTGCGTGCGTGGAGAACGGAAATGACAATCTTGGTAACCAGGATTCTCCCACCCTTATTTCACCCTAAAACAGCTCTTTTTCCTTATAATCCCTAAAGATTCAAGACATCAAGACATACTAAAGGTGTTACGGGTGAGGGAAATCTCTTCACTTCTGTGTACAGGGGTGCATGTGCGTGCACATGTATGTGTGTGTGTGTGTGTGTGTGTGTTTGGGGAGGAGGAGAGCAAGGTATTAAAGAATATTGGTAACTCTCATCTAAAAACGTTCTTTTCCTTACCTCTCCTTTTAAAGATAAGCATATGTGGTGTCTCTGCCAGGAGACCTTAATAGATGGCATTCCTCTAGCAGCTTTTTTTTTCCCTGCTTGCTTCATTAAAAGTCTTCCAATTTCAAATCACTACAGTGCAAGTGGTTTAGATAATGTACTGTCATCCGTACCTCATACATCGTGTCCAGGGGACTTGCCTTACAGTAAGCATCACTTCGATTGCAGTGAGCTGGCCACGAGCCATGACCTATGGGGGCCCCAGTGGCCATTTATTGTAAACTACAGCTTCTGGGTGATGCTAATGAAGTTCTTAAAGAAGCCACATTTGCATGACTTCACATTTTACCGTGTCTCCTTTAAAACTGCTAATAAAAGCCCGGCAAATGTGTTCTTTATTATTAATTTGTTACCCCATTTTCTTCATCTCTCTGTGCAGGGAAAACCACTTCCATGCATCCCGCTACACCGTATCCCTTCATGACCACCAAAAACCAAACACCTCCCCGGAAAAAATCGCAAAAACCTCATGTGGTAACTGCCTCCAAATTTGGAGCTTTATATACAAATTGTTTATGACATTTACAAAACTGGGAAGAAACTGCAATAGCACTGTGCTTCTGGAAAGATGAGGCCAATTTCAGAATCCAATTTTCAAAAGGAAATGCCATGTTTGTTTCATGTCAGCCTCCGCTTCAGACCAGAGGAAAAAAATGAACAAAGCAAAAACCGTTGGTCTGGCTGGTTATTTCCAAGCAAAGCAGAGGGCAGATGGAAAGCCATTCAGTTGGCTGTGACGCCTTGTCTTGTCTACCTCCAGTTGCTTTGGAAGCAGCTGAGCAAAGCTTAACCCCACTGAATGGGGATTCTCATTCTCTCTCTCTCTCTCTCTCTCTCTCTCTCATACACACACACACACACACACACACACAATTTATTTAAATAGCAGTATTTTTAAAAATATAGGCTGGGCTGTCACACGGCCAGGTGGCCTGGCTGCGTTAGCAGTTCAGCTACACCAGACTGGCTGCCCAGTTTACCAAAGGCCCTGCCTCCCAACCGACCTGTAGTGACAACCCCATACAGAGCCATGGGTGCACAGGATACCCTCAAGCCCAATGCAGTCTCTTGTTAAGGTGGAAAGATTTCCAGAAGGGAACACGTGGTACTTGTAGATTTAGAATCAAGCTTTGGAGTATGAATATACATATATTTTTACATAGATATATATATAAAATTAAAATCATCTCTGCTATTGCATGTTTGCATTTACATCTCCATATGTACATTATAGTTTCCAGCTACATCCATATATGTGGAATTAATGAATAAAAACACATAGTCACAAACACACACACATAAATACACAGCAAACACAGAGAAGGATCTAGATACATTGCAGATCTCATATATGATATCAGGTATCAGATATCAGTGTATCTAGATACGGTGACGGTATCACATATCATATATAGTTCATAGAGATTCTGATAAAAAATTTGTATAGGAAAAAAATATATATCGACTTTTAAATGAATTTTTTTCCCCTATATTCAACTTTCTTCCCAAAGACTGTTTTTCTTATTGCTCCCTACTGTAAAACAACTTGAGTATTATATTACCTCTGTTGGTCTATACAATGTGCAAAAAGAACACAAGCACCAACCAGTCACATCTGTGTTTGCTTGCCTCTGCCAACTGTCTGCATATAAATTCCACTCACTCCCCCTGCCTACTGCGGTAAATGCAGATCGTACATAGCAGAATGCCTAGAGCATGTGGGGAAAACAAGGCTCAGTTAGCTTGATGACTGTGGGGGTAACATCTTATCATCTCTGTACACAATATATTGTGTACATGGATGACTGTTGTCTACAACACGACTGGGCACTAGCTGTATCCAATCTATTTCTATGCTGTATTGTCATTGGTCAAAAATGGCCTTGTTCTCCCATTCCCTCCATTTTCCAACTGAAAAAGGAAAGGAACTGATAAGCCTAGCTCAATTTGTTCTGGCAATTATTACAAAATTCCTACTGTGAGGGAGGCCCTGCCCGTTGGTGCGGAATGACACGCAGCCATCCAGGGTCCAGACAAAAGGAGACCCTGCTTTTCTCCAAGTGTATTCAGCCATGTATAGACATATTGGCTGAGATGCCTGCCCATTCACATCTTAATGGGAAAAAGAGAGAGACAAGAACCTAGGGGGGGTGGAAACAGGAGAAGGAAAGATTATCAAGTGACACCAGATAACAAAACGTGAACTTGGCGAAGAGGAAGAAAGCAAACTATTTTGACCACAGGACAGTAAATCACTGATAAAATGTGGATATATATATGTTTTAGTACTATCCAGCTAAATTATGCTTTTATCACAGATAAAAGTTACTCTAATGATACTGAAATATGAAACTGAAGAAAGTTACGCCTGGAGGTTGGATTATGTGACTCTCGCTTCTACTATTCTCTCTCTCTCTCCCCCCGCTCTCTCTCCTGCACATTAATTCAACCAAATGAAACTTGGATGAAATACCACCAAGATGCATTCTAAAGTGTAATTCCTCTGAAACAAGTACATAGTTTTATTAGAAAACCAAAGTACTGGTCAAAAGGTGAAAAAAATAGATTATATTATGATGAAAAGAGGTCATTTAAGAAAAGGCTGAAAAAGCACTTCTTTTTGAAATGGCATATGGAGGCTTTTATAACACTGAAAAAAAGGTGACTTTTTCTTCATATTTGTCCTTATTCTCTGCTTATGAACAGAAAGAAAATGTTTGACGATAAGGTCACTTCAAATTCTAGGCCACAGCACATCTCTTCTCTGGAGCCGAATGCCCTCATCTTTCCCCCTTTCAACTATGTCTAATGATAATTGTTCTACCCATCCAACACTCCTGTCTACTAGGAAAACAGTTGACAAGAAGGAATGTCAGAGTTGCATCTGTGACATCCCAGAAATCATTTCTCCCAGCAAAAGTCACTTATTTCAAAGGATAAGTAATGAAATGAGCAGGGGAAAATTAATTTTAAAATCCGTTATTAGTTGCTTCTCTTTAGTCATAATGGAAATAGGGGGGAAAATTACAGATTCAGTAACATGCATTTTTTCCATTACGGAGAATGGCTAATTCAATGGATGAAGCATTAGAGAACTCAACTCCAGACAGAGAAACAAAAAGGAAAAGTTTAAGATATAAAATATACCATAAAATTGTTGGGAAACGTGAACTACAACCCCCAATGAAATTACCTCGTCTGGCAATTAAGAGCCCGTTTGCTGGAGCATTAATAGCCTCAAGCAAACTAAACAAACCCATTCCTGGCTGCCTGTAATGACAGATTTCTTAGGGAGTATTATTTAATTAACAATAATTTGAAAGAGCAGCTCAGCTGAGACACTGCTTGTACTTACTGGAAACCCTGAGCAATGGTAGTGGAAAAGATGTGCAATTTGTTCACCTTCCCATTATCTTTCGTTTCTGAAATACGTAAGTAGCTGATAGGTATTTGCCACTAGGTATTTTCAGCTGTCTGTGAGGCCAACACGTCCAAAGAACTTGAGCTCTTACTGTACCAGGCTGCTAATAGTCCTCTGCCGTTTGATTCTGTTAAGAAATCCCCCAGGGCCTCCAATGCTCAGGGACAGCATTCTTTGTCCTTCCCCCTTCTAGACAAGGGCAACTGCCAGCCCCCCTCCCCTGTGTACGCCAGGCTCCCTCCCACCCCCATACATCATTTGCCGCTAATCACCTAACATAAGTGATGCCTTTTGTTCTCCTTCCCTTCCCAAGTAGCTTTAGGTTGCATCAGCAACTTGGTGGCTGGCTGGGCCTTACTCCCCCGAGATGTCTTCCAACCCCATGGCACTGGCAGAGGGGTAAAGAAAGCTTTAGCTGGAGCAGCCTTCTCCCCTCAAAGTTACTGAACTAAATTCCCTACCTCCAGCAGCCTCCGTTGGAGCTGATTATAATTTAAGGACCAATTTCAAACTGGCAGAGGGAGGACCACTTTAAGTTGTTCTGACATACACTGGAAGCTGGCAACTTGAAGTGAACTCCACAACTACAGTGACAAGCTCAGGAAAATGCAAATATAGTGCACTCCGTGGAAGAAGGAGAAAAGTAAGTTATAAAACTTTTCATTTCGTCTGTTATTTCCAGGACATAGCTTCACAAAATCTGGTTTAAAATTGGGCAATGACACATAAAGAATGTCTTGGGAAGTGCAAGTGTTGATTTAGTTCCTGTGGGAGCCAAACAAAGCTAGCTAAGACAGTAATTTTAAATTATTATTGGATGGCTGTTAATTGTACTCACCAGTGTCCACTAAAATTCCTGCCAACAGAAAATCTTTATCTTGACTTGATTTGTGAGAAGCTTAGGAATGAACAGTCAGTGTAGAACATGGTTATTAAGCAAAACAAATTTCTGTTTGTGGCTTCTGAAAAGACAAATCTGAAATCCCAACCAGTTAGCTCATGCTTATGTTTGAGAGTAGATTAGGATAGGGTATGTGTAGAGCACCAGCATCCACAGTGGATTAAGATTGATTGCGGGAGCTAAAGATTTTTTCTTTGATTCTTTTGAGCCCACAGTAGCTTTCGCTCAAATAATATCAAAGGCATCTGATTAAACACACCTCCCAGCAGGATTTTATTGTAGGGCATGCTTTATTGTGTACAGTATAATCAGACTGATATCATATGGCATCAGCCAGTGAATGCCTTGTTTTGAAACAACTTGTGGAAATAGATTTTTATCCCTTTCTTTAATCCTAATTTGATACTATTAATCAATTCTATTATTTAAACTGACTATTAAGATTGGAATCAGTTTGATTTATCAGAATGTATTTCCCATTAATAAGGCTTTCTTTTTAGCCTCCCCCTTTAACTTTCATTTACTTTTAGTACTTTGAAGAGAAACATTTACAAAATCTTTTTCCCTCATATGGATTAAAGCATGTGGATTGGCTCCCCTTAAACTATTCTTAGCCTTACAGTATAAGAACAAAACCTTGAAGAGTTTATATGTGTTTCTTTTAATGATTCTTTACTATATAAGAAAAAAAAATGAAAGGGACTATAAGACAAAGAGCTAATAAATTAAATTTTGCAAAAGATACATAAGAGCATTTTCCATTCCAAAGAAACCCAATTCCTTTTACTGACATAGAAAAGAAATATACAGTAATTTTAACTGCTAATGCAGTTTCCACTAGTAACATTTGAACATCTTTGTGGTGCTGCTATATGGTATTTAAATATTAGAAAGTGCCAGCATAAAAGCAACGAACAGAGACACACAATTTTTCCAGACAGCAGAGCTAACAATCCTATCTTGCCACAAGTGTTACCTAAGATCAATCAGCAAGTTATTAAAAAAAAAAAAAAAAGTTTTTTCCTTTCTTTAACAGATCCTTTACAGCAAGTAAAAGTAGAAATAGCTAGTATCAAGCATCATCACCAACTGACTGCACTTTAGAGAAGGTTCTTTTCACTGTATGCTCATAAATTCAGCATTTCTTCTAGGCAAAAATGAGTGAAATGTTGTAAATGTTGTACTATGATGTAAAGTCAGCATTTGAAAAATCACTGATTTATGGGATTTGCAAAAAGCCATTCCCACGTTTGACAGACCTACTTGAGTTTGTGGAAGCTTCCTCCCACCCTTTAGTCTCCTGCTCCTGTCTTCCCCTGCTCAAAAAAGGGCAGATTTCTTAATTTCCATAAGCCATCTGCCCCACTTTATAAGCTTCACTGTCAGGAAATCTTTGTTTAAATCTCTTCCTCTACTGATTAAGGCCATGGTCCATGCCCCTGATCCCTAGGAGATGCCCGTCTTCAGTGAAGATGAATTTTTAAAATTTGGATGCCATTATCAAGCTACATTGACTTTTTCTTCTCTAGCCTTAAGATATCCTTTCCTGGTGGCGCCTGGGTGGCTCAGTCATTGAACATCTGCCTTTGGCTCAGGTCATGATACCAGGGTCCTGGGATTGAGCCCCACATCGGGCTCCCTGCTCCACGGGAAGCCTGCTTCTCCGTCTCCCACTCCCCCTGCTTGTGTTCGCTCTCTTGCTGTATCTCTCTCTGTCAAATAAATAAACAAAATCTTAAAAAAAAAAAAAAAGATATCCTTTCCTGGGCACCTGGCTGGCTCAGTCGGTAGAGCGTGCAACTCATGATCTCGGGGTTGTAAGTTCAAGCCCCACGTTGAGTGTAGAGGTTACTTAAAAATAAAAAAAATAAAAAATAAATCTTTAAGGGTTGCCTGGGTGGCTCAGTCTTGGTTAAGCACCTGTCTTCAGCTCAGGTCATGATCTCAGGGTCCTGAGATCGAGTCCCGCATTGGGCTCCCTGCTCAGGGGTGGGGTCTGCTTCTCCCTCTGCCTCTCACTGGTGCACGTGCTCTCTTCTCCCTCTCTAATAAATAAATAAATAAATCTTTTTAAAAAAAATTTCCTTTCCTTGGACACTGTAGGTTTCATCTTTAGAGCCTTGAGGACTCCTCTGAACCTGATCCAAGCTTCCACCCTCACTTCACAGCCCCCTTTGGGTTGCAGCCCCCTTTGGGTTGCAGCTCTCAGAAACCAAGAAAGCTCTGGTGAGGAACCCAGTCCCACCTGGCAGATCCTCAGGATCCTACTCTTTTAATACTGCTGCTATACAAGTACCACAACTCTCACTGAAATGAGAATGTCATATTGCTGAACCATTCATTGTTCACTTTTTGTTTAATTTTATTCTATTCCAAGTTTTATTAAATTCCTGCTTGCTGCTGACACTGTGCTAATTCTGAAGACACAGGGTGACAGTCGCTGCCCTCAGAGAATTCAAAGGGTAGTGGGGAAAGCAGACCATGTGGGCTGGCTGGTATGATGGACAGAGTGGCATGGGGGCACAGAAGACAGGTCTCGTAATTAACAAACGCTTCCTGGAAGAGAGGTTGCCAAGCAAAGGGCCTAGAAAAAGCATTCCTGTTTGAACAAAAGCATGAAGGTGTTAAAATAAAGGGTCTGTAGTTTATTTTAATGGACCAAAAAATATGAGAGGAGAAGGGACAGGAAATGCCTGGTAGGCAGGACCAGATCATGTAGGTCCCTGAGTACCTTGTCAAGGAGTTCAGATTTTATCAGTTAAGAAACGAAGAGCCAAAGAGCCGTTAAGAGACCTTTTACCAGAGTGACCTGGTAAGATCTCTCTGGCTGACAAGAGAATAGATTAGAACAGGGACACCATTTAGGAAGCAGCTACAGTGGTGAAGGTGTGGAAGTTACTGGGGGAGTTGGAGACAGAAGGAATCTTCCATTAATTTCTGGATTCCTACTTTGATGGCTGGAAGTGCCATTTGTTCCATGGCTAGAGTAAGCAGAGCAAGAGACCCAACAGAGAAAACAATTAGGAGTCAAACTGGGAGGAAATGATATCCACTATGACCCACCAATCTTGTATTTGTTCAGTGAGCTCTTATTTCCAGATATCACTAGATTTTATTTTATTCATTATTTCACTTTACTTTTGTTCCACTTCGGTAAAATCTCAATGCTTAGTGATCATGACTTTAGATATCCTTAAAATATGAATATTAAACAGTTGATACAGAACTTACTCCTTTAAAAATACTACTTGTCACTGTACTAAAGTTGAAAATGATCCATTGATAACAATTCTCTAGTCACTCAGTAATAAAGAGTCAGAACCACATTTCTTTATTTGTTAAGCCTGAGCAGGAGTAATCATAAGTTGTGCAGGTATCGCTTATATAGATACACCTGTCCTTTACATACACCCATCTCTATCACAGCAAACATGGAAATTAGGCCAAACAGAACTTGCTCTCTATATATGTTTTTTTTTTAATCAAAGAATGACTATCCCCCACGCTCCCCAAATCCCCTTCCAAATACAAAAACTTGCCTTTGCTTATCTGAGATTACAAAAGCTCTTCCACACTGAACTCAGTGGCCCTGGAGAGCTTGACTGATGGGCCAGGTGCGACAAAGTGTATTTTCTAACGATGGTCACAATAATATGTGCCATCCCACAGGCTCTCCTGGAGCCTTGCCACTCCCCTTCGAGAGGTAGAGTCTAATTCCGTTCCCTTGAGTGTGTGGACTTGGAAGTGGCTCATAACCAACAGAATATGGCAGAAGGGAAGCTTGAGAGGATTCTGAGGTTGGGTCATAAAAGCTAATGCACTGTCTGCTTTGAGAATGGATGTGCTCACCTGCGAGCCCTGACCACGTACATAGTCCAAATGCTCTCATGGAAGCCACCATGCTGAGGAAGCCCAAATTAGTCCATGTGTAAATCGCATGTGAACATACTAAATGAGACTATGTGAAGGAACAGAGACGCCCAAGGGGCTCCGGCGGCACCAGACCCCTGCCGTCCCAGTCCAGCCACCATCTGACTGCGGATGCCTGAGAAACCCCATGCCAGAATCATCCAGCCAAAACGCATCCAAATTCCTGACCTACAGACACCACAAAAATTAATAAAATAATTGCTGTTTTAAGCTACTACATTTTGAGCTGATTTGCTTCATAGCAATAGCTAGCCAGAAAATAGGAATTAGTGCCAAATGATCCAGTACAAAGTCAGATATGGAGGATCAGTGGGTAAGTTCCCCTTACCTCATTGTGTGAGGCTACATTTGTGCCTCTTGATCCAGGCCTGAAGCTAGTTAGTGACCTTGATACCAACATTAAACTGGATTCTGATGACCCTGAAATAACTAGAAGATCCTAGCTTGAGAACAGTTCTCACTCCTCATGACCCCACTGGTCACTTCTGGAACCCATCATGGCTCCACTTCGCTAGTTTTAAACCAATTTGTTTCGCTTGGGCCACTTAGGAATCTCCTTTTTTATATATCCCTTGTTAACATGGTAAATGTCCTTAAGAAGAACATAAACTTAAGTATATGTTCAATGATTCTATTAGAATCATTAGAACCATCAAACTGGACTAGATTTTTGGGAAGCAAGGGGAGTCCATTCAGGGTTCAAATTAAGACACCACACATTTGCTTGAAAGGTGGTTCCATTACTGAGCCAGAAAACACTACCAAAGAACCATCAGGGAATAAACACAGCCCAGAAAGTGAGGATATTGAAC